TTTATTGGCAGACATCCTGTCTTTATTTACACTTAACTAGCAGCACTTCCAATAAGACACCTTCAAGAAAAAATTGTCCCCGTCTAGGAGGGCAGGAAAAAACCAGCCTACTTTTTGGGATCCTGGAACAAACCCTTTGCGAACAAAGACTGCCACTCCGATCCATTAGGGTACTCGTAGGCGGCGATGGACTCTGGTTTCATAGTGGTGCTGTAACCAGGAGCCTGAAACAGCCGATAAAAAATCACCGTTTAACAATGGAAGATCGTATCTCCACTTACAGAAGGTGCTGTGTAGTGCGCGTTTTTGATAATGCACGGATTAACAAAGTGTTCGTGTTGCTGGTCGACGAATTCCACCACGCGTCCTTCGCTGGTACCCGAAAGAGCCACAAAGTCCCACATTTGCAAGTGTTGCACCATTTCGCACAGGCCGACGCCTCCAGCATGTGGGCATACTTTTACTGCAATCCAAGAAGCGATTAATAAAGCGAGAACTTAAAGCAGATGAGCGGCGCTCCACGACTTACCTCCTAACTTCTTGGCCATCAAGTACACGCTCAAGATCTCGTTAATTCCACCGATACGAGCAGAATCAATTTGGCAGTACTCTAGAGCTTGGGCTTGCATAAACTGCTTAAAGAGTACTCGGTTACAGCACATTTCTCCGGTAGCGACGGCAATTCCGAGCGGTTTCAGAGCCCGGGCGATCTCCGCATGTCCCAAAACATCATCAGGGCTGGTGGGCTCCTCGATCCATAATGGCTTGAACTGTGCCAGCTCTTTCATCCAGTCGATGGCTTCTTGAACCTCCCACACCTGGTTAGCGTCCACCATCTAGAAGACAAGTTTGCAATAAATATCAACAGGCCGTAAAGTCTTACTGGTGCTCTATCCAAGTTGTTCTATATGGCACTAATGTGATATTTTTTAATAGCGAACGCGGCTAATGATGTGTCAGAATGGTGCTAACGGCTTTCCTGCTATTTTCAACAGCTTTTAGAATTTGTAAAATTTAAGGGTTTATCAGAGAGGACAGACGCACATAAATATAATTTTACCGTATCTGACTAATGCAGTGCAAATCAAGCAAGGAGGCAGGCGCTCTTCTTCAACCTCTATTCAGAGGAAGTATCCACCAAAGCCCTCGAAAATAAAATGGGTAGAATAGGAGTTAACGGCATTCCATTGCACAATTGGCGTTAAGCAGATGATACAGTACTTCTCGTGGAAAACATGTATTTCCTTCAAAAATTGTTGAACAATATCAACAAAGCTCCAGGATTTGATCTAACAATCAACGTTCGGAAGACCAAATACATATTGTGTATCCATATTATGTATCCGCGTTCCTTCTGTATGGCACAGAAGGTTGCACCTTGAACGTGTATTGCAAGTGTAAAAATACCATGTACAGAATATGAGACAAAAGTAGAAGTTCCAAGAAGAATCGGGAAATATTTGGGACTCATCATGAGAGGTCCAAGATGAGATTCTGCAACTCATAATCCAGAGAAAACTCATAGGAAAAATATATGTTGGAACGCGAGGAATATCCGAGAATATTCAATAACACATTTTCCAACCTATTCAAGGGCGCAGTTCCCAAAGTAAGAATAGCAGGGATGGAGACGGTATACGACGAAGGAGAAGAAGAGTGAAGGACAGAATCCTTCAATATTTAAGGATCTTGTAAGGCCAAAACCAAGGCTCAAGAGTCTCGTAAGACTCTAGCTTAGTGGGAGTAGCCAAGCAAACAGTGGCCCCCACTTTCTCCGGACTTAAGTCCATTATACTTCTTTTTATGGCATTAAAAAGTAAGATCTCCGCACTGAACCAGCACTTTTGGAAGATTTACGGCACCGAATTATGTGTTGGTAGCGGGGTTGTAAAACTCTACGTACCCATAAAGTACATAAAATTTCCAATCAAATCAGAGGTTCTTCATTCAGTCTACCTCAGTTTATATTTAAGGTGTTAGCGTTGAACACCTCTCTTAAAGAGTTGCAGCTAAGCGCCATAGAGGGACAATATTTAATTTGCTAAAAATGTGCCCCCGTCGAGACTAAAGTTTACATGTCCGAAGGTTTTTTCATAAATTCTCTTAGGTGCTTAAAACTGGGTCTGTTCCGTTTTTGAACCACCGCCCTGTAGAAAGTCTGTACTATAATAAATAAAAAAACGACATCAACTGTGCAAAGCTGAGAAAGTAAAACTAATAAAACAACATAGAAACCCCCCCGGGCTAGATAAATGAGAGTGGCCGAAACCGAAACATTTCCTATATCTGCCTTGAAATAAAAAATGTGTATAATATAAAGGGGACTGAAAATCGCCAGAACAGTTTTAAGACACACTCGAACGTTACACGACAATCGTATAGCAACAAGTTTTAATCAACTGCGTCAGGCAAAAATATTTGTTTATTGATAGCAAGCACTCGCCACAAATAATTAATTTCCTGAAACATACCAAAGTTCTGTCGTAGCCGATAATTTCCCTGAGCAACTTGCATCTTTTGATGTCATCCTGCAGATTCTTGCCCACCTTCACTTTGAAGACTGTGTAGCCCATATCCAGGTATTTCTGAGCCAGTTCTCTGATCTTTTCGTCTGGATATCCCAACCAACCTTTATAAACCATGAAATGTGTAAATGTTTTATCGAGTTTTTTGCACCAACCACAAACCTGCTTGGGTAGTGTAGCATGGGTATCCGGTTTGGAGTAGTTTTTTTATCCGCTCCTCCTTCCCGACTTGGCCCTGCTTGAGCAGCTGCAAAGCTTCCGCTTTGGTGACGCAGTTGGTCACATATCTAAAGTCAATCACGGAGAGGAGCACTTCCGGCTCCAGATCGGCCAACAAGTGCCAAACTGGTTTCTTCACCAATTTGCCCCACAGGTCCCACAAGGCGTTGATGATGGCTGCTGTTGCCAAGTGCGTTACACCTTTTTCAGGACCAATCTGAGGAAAATAACATCAAACAATGCAACGATACTAATTGAAACCAGATGGTTTTTTCGTTTAATCCACGTGTTTCTACCCCTGATAGTTGTGTCTTTACGTTAACGAACTTCTGATTCAAAGCCAAATTATTCCAAAAATTGAAGTGGGAGAAAATTGGGAATTTTTCATGCACTCAAATTGCTGGAATCCTCGTCGTTATCAAAATTAGTCCCAAGGTGAAATATCTGCGTACTGTGACGCAACTTTCGCGGTTTCAAGAATGGCCACTTCAATCGCACACACGTAGTACTATAAGTGTTTCTTTGACGTATTGAATTGAAGAATCAGCAGTTCAACGTCGGCTAAATGTTGCAAAGCTCTACTCGTGCTAACTTCTTACCCATCGGATCTGTCCCTCGCTAGTCACCGATCTCCAGAAGGTGGCAAAGTCCTTGTAGATCTCAGTCACGATTTTGCCCACCACGATGTAGCTCAATGACTTCACTGCTTGTACGACAATTTCCGTTCCTCTCCCATTGGTGAAAGTTAGTCCGTTTCCTTCCAGTCCAGAAGCGAGCCTGATGGTGACATAAGCACAAGAATAATCGGGATCGGTGTGCTGGAAAAGTCAATTCATGAGCTCATTGCAGATTGGTTGATTGCAGAAATTACCCAATTATTATACAATTTAGAAAACATACCAGTTGCTGATATTTATAATGAAAATGAAGTATGAGCTCAGTCAAATGGTGCATCCAGACCCTGACGAGCCGAGCCTGAGCCGCGGCAAGTTCCTTTGATGTTTCGTCAAAACACCTACAGAAAAAGGAATTTTGCCGCGGCTCAGGCTCGGCTTGTCATGTTTTTACGCACCATTACGCGAGCTATTGGTTTGATTGCCTTTCTTCTGTTCTTTAACAAGTTCCTCTAGTGTATTGGTATTAAATAAACGTTCCGGATTATTTTCTATCAACTATTTTATTTTAGTGGGTTGGTTTTTAAGCTTAACTCCTTGTAAGTTCCAAGATTGAATTTTTAGTTTTTAATGGTTAACTCCACACTAACTAGATCGTAAAACACAATATAATCCCCGCTGGTTTTTCGTTTCTTCTACATCTGCATCTATTAAATTTACGGATTTCGAAAATTATCGGTAAAATGTTAATATTGGTAGATTGCGTGGAATCTGAATTATTGGGTAAAATCATGAGAGACTTATGAAAAGTATCTACTTCTTTAAAAAACCTTTTGTGTTCAAAACGCTATAAAATTCAGCGCTTCAGTAGCAAATGAAAAATGGATGCTTATAGCGTTGAAAGTTTTATTGATTACTAAATGTGCTATACTTTTATATTGATTCCCGATAGATGATTTTCGCAGTAATTCTAACTAACAATCGGAAATACGAGTGACACCGTCAAATGTTTAAATAATTTTTTTTGGGCGATTTATAGAACATTTTTGATGTTTTGCAGAATTCGTTCAGTTAGATATCTCGGTCAATGAGTCTAATGTCCTGCACAATATACATACAGAGTATTACAGGGTGTCCGTTAAGTACGTGACGATCAATCTCTCGAGAGCATACAGGGCACTTCAAGATAATACGTTTATTATAAGAAAAATTCTTAACCTCTCGCTTTCTCAAGATATCGGATCTCACAAACTAATCTCAAAATTTACGTTTCGAGTTCTAACTTTTGAATAACTTTGTATATTTTATTTGGTATTTCCAAAAACGAGGCATAGTCTGCTTTGGAACAAATTATAAAGTTCTTAATATTTATCAATGTAAAAGTAATTTGAACTTAATGTAGTTTACGTTAATTTCTGCAGAATATTTAAAACAGAAAAACAAAGATCAATTTATCTTTGAAATCGTTCAATTTATCGAAATGAATAAAGAGCATCTTTTTGCGGAAAAATCTTAAGATTATGAAGAAATGATATTTGTGGTTCAAAGTAATGACAACTGCTAAAGTTTAGACTGATTATGTGGTTGGGTCAGTCCATTCCTAGTTTATTTTAATATCTTCAAGATATGTTTGTAAATTAGACTGATTCTTTTTTGGAAATATATTTCGCCCAAAAATTATTGTAATAAACAAAGTTGTTCAACAGTTAGATCTCGAATCGTAAAATTGGAGGTCCGACATTTCCGTTAGAGGGACGTTACGAATTTTTTTTATATGAACAAACCGTAATATTTTCTCCTCGCCTGTATGCTTTCAAGACATTGTCAGGTACTTAAGAGATATCATTTATACTGGGAGATTCGATCAATCAATTTTAATCGAAAAAAATATGAAAACGATGGAAATCATATACATGAAAAGAAACGTTCACATAAAGTTATGTCCTCAACCCTTGCAGTTTTTGAGATCTCCAACTCAAATTTAGAGCACAGATTACGCACTGGAATATACACTGTTTGATGCGTAGAACCGCTGGAAGAACAGGTACAGGATGAGATTTTTATTGGTCACGTCCACTTTTACCTCCACGAAACTTTCTTCGCCGTGCCACTGAAACGTAGTCACATTTTTTGAATCTGCTGCCGTTTTTAAGTTTATTAATTATTAACTAAGGCATGCTGTTAAGTTTCGCAGCTATTGCAAAGAACCGAGAAGCTGGTTGCGAACAGCAAATTAAATAAGAAGCGCTGGTAAACAATGTGTCATTAACATCGCTTCATATGTTCTCAACTTGAAAGAAATATCTCAAAAATTGTAACAGTTAGATCGAGAAAACCACCTACAGTGAAAATATGGTGCAACAATCATCTTCGTCTTCTTAGAGTGACTATCCGTTCCGGATGTTGGGTATCATGTTGACATTCTGAGCCTTGTTAACAGCGGCGCGAAATAGCTGAGTGATTGATTGGTTGAACCACGTTCTTAAATTTTTAACAACGATATTCTCCTTCTGTCCACTTCTCTATCTCCATATACTTTGCCTTGGAGGATCTTCTGCAAAAGGACATATCTGCTCTCATTGCGCATTATATGTCCCAGATATTGTAGCTTTCTCGTCTTAATCAGGAAAATAATTCCCATCCTTATCAGCACCAATCATCCTTTAACCCAAAAAAGACTGAAGAAGTACGATTTACTCCAAAGAGGAAMGTTGACTTCATGGRACKAACAYTTCTCTCCMACCCCGTCAAATATCTTGGAATCACCGTTGACTACAATCYGACTTAAAGAGACCGCATAGACAGAACCATACGATARGCGAAATGCTTTGGGCGCGCAGAAGGACGTTCGAAAGCAAATRAAAATGAGGACTTAAACCCATAGACACAGTGGTTATTAGACCTGTAATGACCTGAAATGAATGACCGAAAGACTTCTATCGTGCCAAGCYTTGAAAAAGGCGGAAAATCTCGAAAGTGGAAAAACTGACTTGCTTGGGGAGAAACGGAGTCTTACCAATAACACTCACTATTGYTTTGGATACAATTGTGGGCATCCCTCCTCTACACTTCCATGCGGAGGAGAAAGCTCAACGGGCTGTCGAGGAAGTAGAAGCAGCATTACAACAGGCACTGAGAAATCTGAAAGAGGAAACAATCGCATTCAACCTACTCTTAATGAGAAGTGAGAAAGGACGTCGTCGTGCAGCATTACCGGAATAGTTCCACCAAAAACTGACTAAATAGAGCTTGAATGGTTCCTAAAAGCTCACGGACTCGTCTGGTATATGGAAGGTTGCAGAGTGATACAAAACTAGAACTCTATGATATACATGTGCCGGTGTCTGGGCAGGTACGCTACAGTCATTCAAGCAGTGCTTGCCATCATGGCATGCACAGCGAAAAAGCTGAGACAAAGTTTTACGGGCAGTCACATATGCAGACGCACTGGCAGTCAGGCCTTCTCCAAATGTAGAATCTCGTCAAAACTTATACTTAAAAAAGTTTTCCTCGTATGAGTACCGGAACAGCAACACATAATCTACACTTGAAGGATCATAGGTCACACGTTCAACACATCCTTTTAATAAAAAGCTTTCACTGAACTGCCATTGAACGTTAAGGAGACTAGGAAACTGTTAATCTTAGACAGGAAACCAGTGCAAAGAACATAGCAAGGTTACTGGACATTGGCTAGTGGAAGATGCGATGTGAAGACTCTGCGGAGAACTGGAAGAGTTACATGCAAATATATTTCTCTTGCAAGAAGAAGACCTTGTAACCTTTTGTAACAACTCTCTAGAGCCAACGAAGTTGGTACGTATAGATAAATGGAAGAGGGAACTTCTATCTTATTAGAGTGGAGCTCCCACAATAGCTTCATGAGAAAGAACCGAGTAGAAAAGAACCCTCGAGGGTCTAGTTGCTCCCCACATAGGTCCTCCACTAGATAGGATAGAATGAGATTATTTATTTTCAATATTGAAACTTGCACCTCTAGCACCGCAACCAATATTGCGCTAAACCAGTTTCTAAAAACTGCAACGCATTTTAGAAACTTTAGCAGTACTGGAATCACATCTATAGCACAGTAAGAACATTATTCTATAAAATGCGGACATAATTTCCGAAATTGTCTCGGATTTATCGCAAAACTATTTTTCCGAAGAAAGCCTTGCCGAAGAACTAACATGCGTTATCCAAATTGTTATCGACTCGATTATATAAAACAATTTACATAAAATTTCCGACTAATATGGATTTAACCAAATAGACATCTTCATGAACCTTAAAAGTGACCGCAATTTCAGTAAGTGAAAATTAGTTGAAGAAAAAACTAGTCTTAGCCAACGTGTGTAAAGTGCGTTTTTGGGATCCAAATACTAAATTCTAATAACAGTTTAATGAATATCTAAATATTTGCTTTTGAAAAATACTTTATCAACTTGCCATTGAAAATATTAGATAACAACAATAGCAGGGTGTATGGATATGGTGTTTTCTGAGGCGAACGCAATTAAAACATGTTAATTTCACTTAAACCATCCAAGATAAGAAATTACATGACAAAAAAACTTGTTACATTTTGTAGATATGTAGGTATTATACATTATATGTAATCACAGCCAATTTACTCTGTTGAAGTTGTTTGCGCAATAAAACCATCTGACTTAAATTAACAAATCCTGATGAAATAACCACTACGGTTCAAAGCAAATATTATTTTCCATGTTGAAGTGAACAAGTCCCGATTAATAGTGACTGTTATTACTTTTATCAGTTTAGTATAGCGGCAATTAATTAAAAGGCGATTTTAATGACATGTTTGGGTGACCTTAACAGAGTGGATCCAATATTGGACAAGCTGAAGGATTAATGTGAGCAGGAACAAGGAAAATTTGCTTACCATGGCATCGGATCCATCGGATTGCAAAGAAGTGGGAAAACGAATATCCCTCACTTCAACTGCAACCACCTTCAGATTTTCTTCGGTGCTGGACATGATTTGGTAGCAAGAAGTCAACTGGCGTGGCGACTCGTCCGGAGTACTGGAACGACGCTTTTGATGTGCGCTTATTTATAAGCACGCTTCCAGTACGTATTTCCAGTAGTCGAAAGATATCGTTTTATCTACGGTTCAGTGTCGCTGGGGCTACTCAAGCCAATATTCTACTGGATGACCGAAAAATTAAGCTCCCTCTCAAAAGATGCATTGCCGTAAGATTTGTGCCCCCAACTCGGTTCCTCATCAGCACTTACAATTTTCTAGAAACATTCCGCTTAAATAACTGGCAAATCTGTCATTTTCAGCTTATTTAGTTTTATTTTTGATAGGTTTATTGCCACCTTGCTTCTTTCTGCTAAGGTATTTTCGAGTTGCGGTGACATAAAACAGTGAAAATGAGTATAAAAATAGCATGGAAATTAAAAATTTGTTGGCACGTATTCACATTTCACATGTTAGTGTACAGTGTGTGTAAATTTTATCTTTTCGCTGATTGTCTCCTCTGATGAGCATTTAATAGTAGTTTTAGATACAAGGGCGAAACCCTTTTTTTTTAACAGCGGAAATTTCTAGCAAAATATGCAACTTACACATAAACCATACCCTGAAAGCAGCACTTGAATTTTCAACACTCATTGTTTCAATTGTATTTATGCGCTTGCAAAAGTACGCGTTTAAAAAATTACAAGCGTTAAAACATGACAATTTCAAAAATGACATTGACATCAGATTTAAAATATGAAGTTGATGCATTTTATTTTTGGCATTTCTTATTGAACCTGTCACTGTTATTATATTTTTTAAAGTATTGTAACGGAAATAGCCTGGGGTACTCACGTTTGAAATGGGGGGATCAAAATTCATGGTATTTCAGTAAATGGGAGCCCCATTTGCGCCCCATTTACTGTCAAATATGACACTGACAAGCGGGAAGTTTCGCACCTGTTCTGGAGATTTCGAGAACCATCTGGGTTACCTGAAGGAATCGGTATAAGCGGGGAGAAGGTGCAGAAGAGGTTAAAAAAATGAGAAAATGGACGGTAATTTTGAAGTTAGTTTGTTCCTGTTCCGTATTTAAAATTATACCGAGTGGAATAAAAGTTGGAAGCTGAAGAGTTTGATACCCGGCCATCCACGGTACAGTATTTTCATTAAAAAGTAATCGATATGCTTTTTTAATGAATTGCGTAGGTTTATCGACAACTATTAATTACAATTTAAAGTTTACTTACAATTTCTAGATTATAACTTTGTAACAAAGTTGTTCAAGTGGTCCATTTTTCTGCGCTCGTCAATGTTGCCACAAGCAAAACACGATTTTTTTAAATAGCGCAAGTTTCTTGCAAAATATGCACTTGAATTTTCAACACGCATTGTTTCAATTGTATTTATATGCTTACAAAAGTACGCGTTTAAAAAATTACAAGCGTTAAAACATGACAATTTCAAAAATGACATTGACATCAGATTTAAAATATGAAGTTGATGCCTTTCATTTTTGGCTATTTTTATTTATTATAACTTATGATTCGTGTTATATTTGTCATTCGAATAAAAAATGTTGTTCGATGCGAGAGCGAAAATCCGTTTTTCGAACTCCTGACGGATTGACGCCCCAGACGAAGTCATAACAAAAAACATAACACGAATCATAAGTTATAATGAATAAGAAATGCCAACAATAAAAGACATCAACTTCATATTTTAAATCTGATGTCAATGCCATTTTGGAAATAATTTAACAAATATAATGGCATTGACAGGTTCAATTTGACACATTGACTTTTGCGCACATGCGCGTAAAAACCCGTGCGTAAAAGTAAAACAAGTGAACAGTAGAGAAAAATGCTTCTTTTTGATAATCGCTTCTGATCGAAAAATGGCACTTTTAAATTCATTCGAATAAAAACCACTATTATTTTAAAATGTAAAGGGAGTAGGAAAAATCAAATAAAACTTCTGATCTGTTTCTTTTAATTTTACAAAATATTTGCATTTACAGACACTGGCAATCGTCCGATCCAGTGGATGTGTTGGAAGAGCTCGTCATAACCGATAACTCTTCACTGCTTAAACCGCTGCCCAATTCATTAGATAATCCTTTTTTCAACTTGTGTTTGCTCTTTGTTCGTTTAGATTGAGCAAGTTCATCTTGCGATGATTGTTCTTCTTTGTCCCCTTTTTTCTTGCGGTTCTTCCGGCGCTTCTTTTTGGGCTTTGTTTCCTCCTCAGAGCTCTGGCCAGTAGATGGAGTCCCTACCGACGAGGAGTCGCTCTGGTTTTGAGAACGAGCTTTGCCTTTGCTCTTTTTCGACTGGCGTTTGCATCTCTTGGCTACAATTTACGAATTGCACCAATTTCCACAGCGAATTCCAAAGCTTATACTCACTATCGCAAATGCACTCGCTGGTCATTTGAATGCCCTCTTCTTTAGTTGCTTGCTCCTGTCCCTCTGAAAAGGAAACTTTTTTCTTTTCGTCAGCATTTGGGTCCAAAACATCCACCACATGGCCAGTTGGTGGACCGGCAGTTTTGCAAAGAACAAGTTTTTTTACCTGCAAATCGACAGTTTATTATGCTAAAAACTTAGAAATAGATCAGTACTCTGGATGAAAAGTCTATGGGAGGACTGGGAAACATGAGCTGTTGCATCGTGTGGCATTGCTGGCAGCTTTTGGGAGTCGATGAGATAAATTCTTCTGAAATTATCGTTTTTTTTTAGGCTACCTGGTTCAGTACTAATCGCCAGAAATTGAACTTAATTAAACTTTTTGAAAATACTGACAGACTTTTTGAGGCGAGTTTTGCGACGATGTAAAATATACGAGTGAAATAAGATGCATGTATCGGGAGTGTTACTTTCAGGCTAAACCCAGTTAATAGGCTTGAAAAATGTTTACTAAAAAACTCAAAACTGGTCCAGTTTCTTAACTATCGAAGGTATCAAAAATGTGCGTGAACCAGAGTTAATTTTTCAACGCTTTGTTTCTGAGCGGCTTGACCTTATCAGTCCCTTTGGGCTTTCGATTAAACCACTTTGCCGATCTGTAGGAGAGTTTCTGAGTTACTTTTTCATTGAATAACTGATTTAAAAACAGTCAGCATGTCAAAATGAAAAAAAAAACTTTGTAAAAAATCCAATTTAAATGGTGCGCGGTTAAATCTGGATCATCAATACAAGAATACTCACTTGGCGCTGGAACTTTTGGGAAGTAAGTCGGCAAATCTGAAGATGACGTGCTACTATTGCGATGAAACTGCAAGTTGAAAGTCTTTTGAGGCTGTTGAAACCCACAAGGATTCAGTTGGGAATACTCAACTGATGAGGGAAAAAATGAGCTTACAACCGCTTGAGGCGGAGGCTGTACTTGTGGTTGGTACATTGAACATCTGAAATATCTGAAACACTTTGGAGCCCATCGCTGGAAATGCTTAAAACTTACGGTCCCTGAGCGGCATTTGCACTTGCGGGAAATGTGAACAAAACGCCGCCAGGAACCAGCTGCTTTTGAGCGCACAGCATTGGTTGATTTCCCGAGAATCCGACTATAGAGGTGTTGACTGTGTCGCAAACTCTTCGCTGCTGTTCTTGGGACAAAACCACATTTTCGCCATTTAGAGTAGTTGGGGCTGAAATTAGATGCGAAATCGGCAATCATCTGCTAATCCGAATCCCAACTGCTTACCAGTTGATCGAAACGATTCGTCGTAAAAATTAGAATTGATCGAGCAAAATGGATTGTGATTCATGGAGGAAAACGACAATTTGGTGGCTGATTTTCTTACCAACGGAATATGGTGAATGTCAAGAAGCTGGTCCTAATATTTGACATGATATACAGGGTGTTTGCTAATTGGTGGACAATTTCTAAAGGCTTTGTGGGCAAAGGTGGAGGACTTTTGAAAAAAGTTTTGTGGTTGAATAGGAAGTTTTAATTATTAGTAACTGTCTCGGTAATATTTTTCAATTGATTAAACTTAATCTGCAGTTAAGTGCATAAAAGCGCATTTTTTATTTGAGAGTTTTTCTAGTTTTTAAGCAAAATCTCTTAGCCTTTGCCTCATA